CTTTATGTTGTTATATTATTACAAAATTTACTGTTTATAATTCATAAATTACAATTAATAAAAATGTTCGTCTCAACGTTTCAACTTTTGGAACAAGCTTACGAAGATGATGAGGTCATACTAAATGTTACGAAAGGTTTTCACGATTTACGAGTGGTCGTCAGTCAATTAAATATTAGAATTAATTAGAAAAAAAGTTCAGGCGTTACAAAAAGTTTAAGACCAATGATCACTTATCGGGTTTTAAACGTCTCAGAGTCCTTGTTAAAACTCAGATTACACGCGACTACAATAACTATCTTATAAATGTTGAACATTCAATTAAAGAGGATCCAAAAAAGTTTTGGTCTTATGTTAATAGTGAAAAGGGTCAAAGTAGAATTCCTGGTTCAATGCACCATAATCGGGTCAAACTTAATGGGCCTCAACATATTGTGGATGAATTTAGTAGTTTTTATAGTAGTATATTCTCTAAACTTGATGCGACCACAGTGGATTTGTCCACCGATTTTGATTTTAACTTGCCTCTTATTGGCATTATTAATTTACCAGAAGTTGAGGTCAATTGCGCTGCTAGGAAACTAAAAAATAAAATGACCTGCGAGCTGGACAAGTTACCGAGCTTTTTTGTCAAAGACTGTGCTAATGCGTTTGCTTTCCCGTTGTCTATAATTGTTAACTTGTCATTAAAACAAGGGATATTTCATGATTCCTGGAAAGCGGTTAGTGTTTGCCCCATACTTAAAGCTGGTGACCCCGCTGATATAGAAAACTAAAGGCCCATTACTATTTTATCTAACTTTGCTAAAGTCTTTGAAGTGTCCGTGTATAACTGTATCTACCCCCTAGTAAAAAAATATTATCTCAGTCGACCAGCATGGTTTTATGGAAAAACACTTCACTAATACTAATTTAAACTAATTTGTTTCGCTCAGTTTGTTTCGGAGGAAATGGACAAGCTAGGGTAAGTAGATTTCTCCAAGGCATTTGACCGGGCAGATCACTCTTTACTAACTACTATCTAAATTGAGCGGTTATGGATTCTCTTACCACCTGGTCAATTTGTTCCGGTCTTATTTGTCTAATCGTTTTCAATATGTTACCTATAATGGATTATTTAGTATCATCTGGCGTTCCACAAGGGTCAAATTTAGGTCCGTTACTTTTCTCTCTGTTTGTTAATGATCTTAATAGTGTAATTGATTGTAAAAAAAATTGTTCTTTGCAGATGACTTGAAATTGTTCAATATTGTTAAATCAGTCGATAATTGTGTAAAGCTTCAGCTGCAGTTAAACAATGTGGTCCGATGGTGTAATTTGAACAAACTCTTTCTTAATAACAATAAATGCGAAACGATGTCGTTTACTCGTAAACGTAATAAAATTTTGTTCAATTAAGAAATCGATTCGCATGTGCTGGCTCGCAGTGATGCAACTAGGGACTTGGGAGTCCATTTTAACTCAGAATTAACCTTTACGTCCCACATAGAGCACACCGTATCTGCTTCTACGAAAGCACTTGGATTTATAATCAGAGAAGGTCGGGATTTCCATGACATTAAAGTTTTAAAAACCTTGTTTTTTGCGTATGTGAGATCCAAGCTTGAATATCGCTCGCTCGTTTGAAGCCCTTTTTATGAAAATCATGTTAGATCAATCGAGACAGTACAGAGAAAATTTCTAAAATATCTTGAATATCGCATTGATGGTATATATCCGGAGCGTGCTTGTGACCATAACATATTACTTAGTTGTTTCGGTCTTAATTCGTTAGGTTTTAGGAGACGCTACTATTCACTTAAATTCTTGCATCCTCTCTTACGTAATGGCGTCGACTGTCCAGAAATTCTTAACCAGCTTTATTTTCTAGTTCCTAGAACGTCAAATCTTTCTTGGTCTACCTTTAACACTCCTACAGCTAGATCTAATCTTTCATTGAAGTCACCACTTGTGAGGATATTATACATCTTTATATAATTGTGTGATTTTTCATGACAATATTTTTCCGTAGTGGCCTATAGAGAGAGGGGCATCTATTCAAATTATGTGTTAGATGTGATCCATCTACTACGAGTATAAACCTCGTTGCACACTTGCCGGACCGGCTAGCCGGATCCGGCTGGCTTTTTCACACGTAATTTAATTTTCAAACCAGTTTGGCCGATATTAGTATCAGTTGCATTTTTATCACGACAAGAGATGAATCGTAGACGCATTGCAATTATGTGGCTTGGCTATTGCCGATGTCGTCGCAATAAAAAAAACAAAAAATATGAACAGTATCCAAAAAATATGAAAAGGCTAAAGTTTTGTCCCACTGAACAGGTCTGGATTCAAGCACTGATATAAAGAATGCTATATCTACTTCTAGCGAACAAACATTCGACATATTTGCGTATAAATATTTAAAAAAATAATTGCCAAATCCTGTTCTTTTCAATGAAACCTGACGTCTGAACCCGGCAAGCACCCGGCAAGAGTGAAAGCGTCAATACAAAACTATGCACTACTACCACTTCGGTCGCCGGATAGCCGGTACACGGCAGCCGGACTGGCAGTGGTAGCGACCGGCTAAAACCCGGCGGCCGTTCGCCGGATAGCTCCTTCCGTCACGTGTGAAAGATGCCCAACTGACATTACAGATAGTGCCCAAATTTTGACATTGTCCATATAGTCCAAGAGAATTAACCTCAAAATCTTGGAGATATGGCTGTTGCTTGACGTAGATTAGATATTAGTAAAAATCGGTCGAAAATAATATATACAATGAAAATATAAGGTTGCACCAAGAAAAAATGTTGTGCTATTTGCAAAAAATATTAAAAACTGCAAAAATACTCAACGTGTTTTTTCTCACATTTTCCAATATAACTTTTTAAGTATGCAGTTTACAGAAAAAACTATTACTGATGAAATTGTTTGTTATGAAATTTGCTACAAGATAGAATTGTTTTGATACCTTCACATATCATATTTTTGTTACTAAATAGCCAAAACAACCTAAGAAAGTGATGAAAATCGAGATAATTTGAAAGCGTTCAACTGACAGGCAAGAAATTGTCAAATTCTACTATAAATGTAGATGTAAGTACTTTAAAGGATGACAAAACGAAATCCCAAAACCCGATCCAAATCGGTCTGATAGTTTTGGTATGAGACAATTTGTTACTAAATTTCAGCGCTAAATGTCGTTATTTTTTTACGTCAGTGTTGGGGTTAAAGTTAGGCATTTTAATTGGCGCTGATTTTTGTACACATACTTGGACCCCTTAACTATCATATAGAATCGTTATAATATCATTTTTTTTTTAATAATTTTTGGAGCGAAAAATTTTGACTTTATAAACAAATACTTTCGTGAAGCGGTTTTGCGGGTTGGAAAATATACCAAAGTACTGAAAATGTGAGAAAAAACACGTGATTTTTGAGTATTTTTGCAGTTTTTAATTTTTTTTTTGCAAATAGCACAACTTGTTTTCTTGGCGCAACCTTATATTTTCGTTGTTTATATTATTTTCGACCGATTTTTACTAATACTTAAACTACGTCAAGCAGCAGCCATCCCAATGTGTAATTCTCCTGGACTAATAACAATCAGTCACCTATTGAAGTTTCGAGAGGCATTTCTTTTCAGAAGAAACTCAGTTTAGCCCTATAAATCTCCCCCTAGATTTAAATTGATTTTTACCTTCAGTAATGAGTTCGTTTATTAAACCACTTGGTTAAATTTGGTTCGCTTCTTGACTGAAAAAGTTGACTCCTATAAAGAGGACGTTGCACGAGGATCACAATATGCTGTAGGCCAATCTCCACTCTCTTCTTATTGTTAAACCCCCTCGAGTATCCGAAGCTTTTAAAACTTCTCTAGTTCGGTTAAAGAACTAGTCCGTCCTTTTCTCCTACGAAACCTTTGATACCCTTCTCTATCTGAGCACATAACAATTTAAAATTCTTATCTTCTGGAAACTGCAAAAACTGTACTGCTGAGAACGATTTCGTCGAAACTAGTTAAATCAATTTCACTCGATGTGGGGAACGAAGTACCTTCTTATTTTTCTAGGGACGGTTGCATTGTTGAAGTTATATAAAATTGCATTACTTCAAGTTCAAACATAAAATTATTTAAAGCAGCAGATTTTTATGCTCGCAAAGAGAACTGTATTACTAGAAAATTTAAATAAGGATTAATGATCCTGAAATCTCGAAAAGAGAGAGAGAAAGAGAGAGAATCAATTGATAAATAAACACAGCCATTTCATTTCTAACAAAATTAAAATTTCCTTTAATAACTGAAGTAAATTTAAAGTATAGTAACGTAAAAATACAAATGCTATTAATCAAAATTGTATGATTTAACTGTTTTGGTTGTCATTTTGTATACAATTTTTTAAGTAACTGAGAAATAAAAAATATAGATCATTACTACCCAGTATTTTAAGAGAAAGTTAGCTTAATAATAAAGGGATGAACAGCTACGAATGTGTAAAGTAGATAGAAGAAATATTGTATTATACATGAATACTGAATGATTGAAGTGGGGACTGAACAGTTCTGCAATCAGACTGTATACATAATCCATATCGAATTGTGATTGAAAAGCTAAATTATGTCGGATAACAGAACTGATCGTGGTTTAACTGAACTTTTCTGTTACGATGAGAGTGAAGTCCATTAATAATTTATTTTTTAATTATTACGATTTTAATTTTCAACATTTTAACTATGCACCGCTCAAGATGTTTTCAACAAAAAAGTATGAGGAGTGTAATTTCTCCATGTACATAGAGTGATTATAGATGTATAAAAAATTAATTCACTAGTAAATACCTGTCAATGGTCACTGCTTCTCAGTACCACGGGCGTCTAAAGTTAAAAAGAACCTGTCAAAAAAAGTTATTTAACATCGCGAATAATTTTCTTTGATAGGTTTGAAAATAATATTTTCAAACAAAATTGTTGCTTTTAAGCTTTTTTAAAACTTACTAATTTTATTGTTTCAGGATGAAAATAAGTCAAATAAATCGGGAGAAAAGAAGAGATGGATACATGACCCCTCCAGTAAGTCAAATAAGTACATCTAATTTACTAATCTTATTTTAATGTAATTGCTTGATAAATTTGCAAGATGGTAGAAAATAAATACAGATGTAACACTACAACGTTAAAAACGAAGAAACGTTTTCCTCATCCAAATTTAAGAATGTTTGTAGTCTTGGTTCAAATTAGTGGTGGGATATGAGGTGTAGTGACAAGTGTTTTGAGGCATACAACCGTCATTGTAAACAATTTAGTAAAATCAATTGATGTTAATTTTCTAAGGGGTGATAGAACTAGTAAATCCGTGCAAGAGATGACGAAGCGTAACGCTAAACTAGAGCAACTTTCTTTAATTCGTATTGAATGATTACGGAGAACATGTAAACATCAGAATATGTACCTTTCCTCTTTTATGCAGAAAATATGTAAAGATAATAAATAATTGTGATTAATGTATGTGTTAATAGTTTCCTAAAAGCATCCTGGTGGGTGTGATTATGTTTAGAGTACCGTACGCTATTTTCTGTATGTTCAAGAGGCGTGCAAAAATCAGCAAACGTAAGATAAACATACGAGATATAAATGTTTTTTCCCGTATTTTGAATGTATTGGTTGTCTTATACCCGAAGAAAACTTATATAATTGGTACAGTGAAGAGATATTGTTTCTAACTTGGTTAGATTTTCTAAAATGCTGGATAAAAAATTGCGCGTTTACGTCCCCCTTAACATTGTGTATATTTTATAAATTTCAATTTCACAAATTGTGCATATAAACGTCGCCTTAAACATGTTTTACGTGTCTAAACGTATTATTTTTACTAATTTGTACGAAAATGGTAAAAGCTACGCGAAAAAGTCAAGAAATAATTTTCGTTCAAAATATAATTTGTATTTCAAAAATCAAAAAATAAAGATTACAGTGGCTTGCTATAATTTTTGAGGAAAACGTACCCAGAATGCCTCATATCAACGCTACTGGTTTAATCTGATACTTATTTTTTTTTTTTCACAATGAATGCCTCTTTATACCTATATTGTTTACAGAAATTTCGTTTCAATTCCTTCATTTCTTCAGGAGATATTTAGAAAGTTTTTTTTCTGAAAACTTGATCATGTGTCTCAAAAAAGGCTTCAAAGAAAATGTTTATACAGGGTGTCTGGAAACACCTGAATAATTTCCCAGGTAAATTATTTTTTAAAAATGTTAGTCATTCTTATAGTAACTTTTGACGAGGAATTCAATGGTGACCTTGGATTTGACGTTGACGATGACCTTGAAGGTTATTTCAAGGTCAATGAAAACCCCCGTTTTCAACGTCCGCAATCAAAAGAGCTATACTTTTACTTTTAGCGTTAATACCCAGGAACACGTGGACGTAGTAATTTCTGTTCCCTTTGGGGTGCTTTATTATCATGAGTCCCCTTGCCTCTCACGTTTAGGGAGCTTCATTATTGTGAGTCCCCTTGCCTCTCACGTTGGGATGCTTGATTATCATGAATTCCCTTGCCTCCCACGTTTGGGGTGCTTCATTATCGTGAAAAAAAAATTGTCCTTGAAACGACCTTGAAGGACACAAAGAAGGTCGAGTTGAAGGTCACCACTAATGTGAGCTTTGGACTATTTTCATCAGCTGCGTCCTTCGGAGATATCAGGCCCTCAAATTTAAATAACCTTTTAATGACCTTCAAGGTCAACCCTGATTTATGACCTTAGAGTTTTTGGACATAAATTTCCCGCTCTTTCGATTGCCGACGTCGAAAAAGGGGGTTTCCATTTTAGAACATAGAGGTGACCTTGAAATAACCTTCAAGGTCATCGTCAAGGCCAAATCCAAGGTCACCATTGAATTCCTCGTCAAAAGTTACCTTACCGTTTACTTTAATATTTTTCAAAAATAATTTACCTGGGAAATTATTCAGGAGTTTCCAGACTTTTTGGACACCTGGTATCAGAAAATAATAATAATAATTTATTTCCTTCAAGTTAACATTTTTTGCAATTTACTATCGATATGACAATGTATACAAACAAATAATTATTATAAAATAAGTTCACGAGTAACTTACAACTAACATGCCATAATACAATTTTCCTTTCGGAAACAAATTGAAACCCCATGAAGTCTAGACTTGTTTTGGGGAATATCTGCTAGTATTGACACGTATTTACACAGTAAAGTATATATTTACATAATGAAGAAAAAAGAAAAAAAAGATTTGACAATGAAAATTACATAATGGAAAAATAATGAGATGAAAATGAAAGCAGTATAAAGGATAAAATATATTCACATGCATACTTTTTTTTATTAGCTACCTACTTAACAATTTTTTAGATCAATAAGATTATGAATAGTAGTTCTGGGCATATCTTGAATCGATATTTTCACTTTGTTTTTAAATAATTTATTATTTCGTTTCTTACAGAACTAGGAAGATTTGAATATATACGAGGTGCAATAAAATAGTACGATCTCTGGCCAATTGTTTTTTGTCGCGTATCATGTAAATGTCCTATGAAAGTTAAATTATATTTATTTTTATGCTGGAGACACAAAACCCTATAAGAGTATAACTGTTTAATATCAAATATGTTAGATTCTTTGTATAACTCCTCAGTAGAGTATACTCTAGGTTTGTTGTAAATAATTTTGATGAAATATTTTTGTATTATTTCTAGTTGTTTTATGTAACAGTTATAAATTCCACCCACCCTGATATTCCATACTGAATATGCGATTCAACTAAGGAGTGATATATTATTTTTAACTCTTTCAAATGCAATAAACTTTTTAGTCGTAAAAATAAAAAGTATGGACCGTATCTTTTTACTACTTTATTTACATGAACATTCCATCTAAGATGCTTGTCAATTTCTATACCTAGGTAAGTTATGTTATCTGCTTTACTTATTTTAAATTCTTTTTCTCCCATTTCAATTTTTATGTCATCTTCCAAGACATATTTGCTACTATTATTTTTGCAGATGAACGGTAGGTACTTCGTTTTTACAAAGTTAATTGTAAGATACATTTCATCAAACTATGTTTTAATCTTTTTCAGATCATTTTTAACATTTTGAACCTTTTGCCATGTGCTTCCTGTGTAGACTATCACTGTATCATCTGCGAATGAGGATATGTTTCCCTGAGTATTGAGGGTAAATAAACCATTAATATATATAGAAAAAAGTATTGGGCCCAGGACCGTGCCCTGTGGTACTCCAAATTCTACTATTTTAGGCTCGCTTATGTCTGTATCAACTTTAACAAACTGTTCTCTATTTACCAAATAGTTTTTAATAAGCCGTAAAGCTACACCCCTAAAACCAAGATCCTCGACCGTTTCTATCAGTTTTCTGTAACTAACGGTGTCGAAAGCCTTCGCTAGGTCAAGAAATACTGCTAAAACAGTTTTGTTCTTATCAAACGCCTTATATGTATATACCATTCGTCAAATAGACAAATGCATCTTCCGTTGACATTTTTTCTTTAAAGCCGAATTGTTTCTTTGATAAAAAGTTATGTTTTTCTAAATATGAAAGAATTCTTGTTTTAATAACTCTTTCCGCAATTTTACTTAATGATGAAATAAGAGATATAGGTCTATAATTTGAAATATTGTCCTGATTACCCTTTTTAAACAATGGTTTTATAACAGCTTTTTTAAACACACTAGGAAAATCACCTGTTTCTAAAATTATATTGATTATATACTCTAAAGGCTTTTTAATAAAATTTGCTCCCAATTTTAATATTTCTGCCATAATGTTATCTAAACCTGGCGATTTTTTTAGTTTGAGCTCATTAATAATATTTAATATTTCCGTTTCATCCGTTGGTTTGAAAAACATTGAATTATTTGAATTTACTTTTTTCACAATTGAAACCGCTGGCTGTTCAATTTTGTCGTAAAGTTTTTTTCCCACTTGACTGTAGTATTCATTAAACAAATTTGCTATTTCATTTTTGTCAGTTACAAGCTTATTATTAACATTAATCTCTTTTATTTCATTTGATAAAGCCTTTCTATTTATAAATATTTTTATCGTATTCCAAAGAATTTTACTATCTTTTTTATTTTGATCTATTTTTGTTCTGTAGTATTCTGTTTTAGTTTTTTTTAATTAAATTTGTTAATGTATTTTTATACCTTTTATATTTGCCTAGGATTTGTATATTATTAGGATTCAATAACATTTTTTTATAGAGTTTTGTTTTGTGGAAACTGATTTCATCAATGTGTTTGTAATCCACGGATTTCGTTTTTCTGAAAAAACCTATTAATTTTTGTGGATGAATCCATGGCACGTTTTATTTCATTAGTTAATATATTTGTAGCACAATCCACATCCCTAGTTTCATACAAGTCATCCCAAATAGTATTTCTGAAATTATCAACCAATTTTTTTTATAACATAATATTTTTAGAAGTTCTATTTGAAGAAATTAGAACATCCAAATTAGCTATCACAGGGTAATGGTCAGTCAGATCTATCTTAAGAATAAAAGATTTATAGTTATTCTCTACACAACATTTATAAAATAATATGGTCTACACAGGATTTTGATTTTTTTTGTGCTCTAGTATAGGAATTTATTAATGATAAAAACCGTACTCTGATAATATATTTTGATATTCATTAGAATAGTCTACTACTGATTTAATATCGATATTAATGTATCCCACAAAAAAATAACTATTTTCATTTACATAAATTATATTATTTTGCAAGTAACTTTTTAATTGTATATTAAAATCATAAGGACAAGTAGATGGAGATAGCAATCACAATTTTTTTTATACTGCCTACATTCTCAATATGAAATTGAAATTTACAACTATTTTTTATGAACATGACAACACCATCATTCTGGTTAAAGTTGCCCTCGTTATATACAGGGTTTGCTTATAAACGTATGTCCGCAAATGATTCGTTTTCCGAGATACGGGTTGTCAAAGTTTTTCTTAAAAACTGACGATTTAATTTATTGCTCTGAAACCGGTCGAGATGTGCAA